TTATGGTTCATTACATTTCTATACTATATAAGTAAATAAAAGTTAAAATGTCTTTCAGAATATAAATTCGTTGTACTTGTCACAACTAAAGATTATACTACTCATATAAGTAACTTGCTTAGACATAATGTTAAGAAATATCTGTAGGTATCCGTAATTGTTACAGACAAACATATCAATGTGGTACATATGAACTAACATACTGGATAAAGAACATATACAGTGAATGTCTGAACTTGAAATGAAGTCTTTATTAAAAAACTACACTGTGATATGAAGGACTCATCTAATAAACTAATGAAATAAGGGCTGAAAGTGTTGAATTTAGCATACTTATGGAATCTTGAAAATATTGTGTATAATATGGGACATTTCTGTTGTTTGTTTACAACTACTGACAATTAGATTTTACTATTTTATGCACGCTAGTCAAATGGTTACAAATTAACCAATAAATTCCTTTTAAAAAAAATTATATATAAACAAGAACCTGTCACGTTTTTCGCCAAGTATTGATTTCTTATGATGCTAGTTCTTAATTCTATCGGTAATGAAATGTACTTTAATGATCTAACTAGAAGTATCTGTTTAAAAAAAAACGGGGAATAGTTCAGTGTACTCTGTTGGATATTTTTTTTAATCATTTCCAGTGGTTTTATACTGTTAAGGTCAACTCACTGTATGTAAACTGAAACAATTACGAAGTAATAAGAGTTTCTATGAATTAAAATTTAGTTTGATTTATACTGATTCTTCTTATCAGAAGGGGTTTTGTCAAGAATGTAGTAATTTCAATAGTTGAGATCATGAGTCGATTGAAGCTAAACCAACATGGAAAACCTGGAAGCACTGGACAGCCATTTCCTCCTATTGTGGGATTCCTCAGTAGTGCGCATCCACGATCCCACCTCATGAGATTCAAAATCAGGATCTATCAGTCTCGTACGCGAACGCTTAACCACTGGACAACTGAGTCGGCCGGCATCCAACGGTGTTAATATCTAACTTCAACTAATCCATGAAATTGAGTGACATATCCACCATTTTCATCAGTGTGTTACTGTCTATCTCACAATTGACCCGGTTGAACTCTACTGTTCACTGCTTCTCACTAGAACTCCAGGCAATACCTCTTGAAGCCGGTTACTGGTGAGCATATTTTGAATAATATGAGAAGGTGGATTTTGTGTAGATTGTAGTAATTTGGACAGTTGAGATTATGAGTCAATTGAAGCCAGACAAACATGGAATGCCAGCTCAGTGATCTAGTTGGTTAAGCGCCTGGAGCGAGATTGATAGGTCCTGGGTTCGAATCCTGCGAGGTGGGGTCGTGGATGCGCACTGCTGAGGAGTCCCACAATAGGACGAAACGGTCGTCCAGTGCTTCCAGGTTTTCCATGGTGATCTAGCTTCAACTGACTCATGATCTTAACTGCTTACTTACTTACTTACGCCTCTTACTCCTCGTGAAGGAGCATAGGCCACTCACCAGCATTCTTCATCCAACCCTGTCCTGGGCAATCCTTTCTAGCTCCGTCCAGTTGTAATTCATCCTTTTCATATCTGCTTCTATTATCCGACGCAATGTATTCTTTGGCCTTCCTCTTTTTCGCTTCCTTTCAGGATTCCAAGTTAGGGCTTTCTCGTGATGCAGTTTGATGATTTGCGTAATGTATTTCCTATCCATTTCCATCGTCTTTTCCTAATTTCTTCTTCAGCTGGAAGTTGGTTTGTTCTCTCCCACAGAAGGCTATTGCTGATGGTATCCGGCCAATGGATGTTGAGTATCTTGCGTAGACAGTTATTTATAAATACTTGTACTTTCTTGATTGTGGTTGTTGTAGTTCTCCAAGTTTCAGCTCCATACAGTAGAACTGCCTTGACGTTCGTATTGAAGATTCTTACTTTGATATTGGTTGAAAGTTGTTTTGAGTTCCATATGTTCTTCAATTGTATGAATGCGACCCTTGCTTTGCCGATCCTCGCCTTTACGTCTGCATCGGATCATGGAAGCACTGGACGACCGTTTCGTCCTATGATCTTAACTGCTGGAAAAATTATTTTTTATATGTTGGTTAGTGATGTGTATTACTTAGTTTAACTTCAAGAATTAGTCAATGAATTTAAGATAAGAATAATAGTCTTGTTCATCGATCAATTCTTGACCAACGAACGACGATTTATACTTTACTGAATTCATAACATATAAACAAACAATAAGACTTAAGTCATATGCATTATATTGAAATTCAAATAAAGTTTGCTATAAGTAGTCGTCACCTTAAATATGATTACTATCTTACTTAAAGGGTGATTTTTCAAAATTATTAAGTGTTTTTAATATTTAAAAAAATAAGGATATTTAGAAGGCTATATTAGATTATGATATTCTGAAGGCTCATGGAAGATATACTAGTATTGGTAATAAAATCAACAATTATCCAATAAGGATAATAAAAATGTAATCTGTCGTTTTCTAGAATTCTCTTAAGAATTCTTAAACAATACCGTGTAGTAAAAGTGTTTACAACTCCATGCCTAACTCTGAAGACTTTTTCAATGAATTATTGGAAGCTCTCAAAAGAATTACTTGAAAGGGTTTGTGATAAAATAATATGTGAATGGATAAAGCAAAAGTAAGAGATGATTGACTATATTGTGATCTTCATTTTTATCCTTAATTAGTCATTTGTTGTTTAATATTATATCATACCATATTAATAATATAATCATATAGGTTGATTTTCGTTTACACATAAAATAGTGATTTCCTATAATATTTCTTTTATAACGGGACGAATATTGGATAAGCTAGAACGTTTTGAAACGACTTTTAAAATCAGTATTATCTACATTATTATTGTGTAGTTAGTAGATAACTAATGTCGCATTTCTATATTTCTCCTACTGTAAGCTTTCAGTGGACCTATTGACCACTATTATGTGTCTTACTAGTCCTAAATTATTGATCGTCTTCTACCACGTATGTTATGACTGTGTTTAGAGTATGATTTCTTATTTAGTGTGATGTGTGATCAGACATTTTAAGCATATTATTGTTCGAGTTTTAGGTTATAACTGAATTGAGTGCAACATAAAACTAATCTGCTTCTTGTTATTGTCTTCTGATTGGGTAATGGGCTAGAATGGGCTTGAAAAAGACCGATAAGCGTTACGAATTCGGTTGTTGTTCTTTGGTCAGTGTGCCGGCTAATAAATAAAAGATCACCAGTCCTACTAACTCAGCCTCTAGCTCTTTTAGAGTTACTGCCGGTCCAAAGCCAACACAAAGAAGGACGGTTTGGCATGGCGTCAGAAACACGATCTCGTAAAAAAATCTTACCAAAAAACGTTAACCAGATTAAACAAATTAAACCACATAAACTTTGCTCACCGAGTTGAAGAGTCTTCATTTAGAAGAATAAAGACACCTCATGGTGAAAGCCGAGATAATTCGGAAGTCACGAGGCTGATGCTCCTTCCAACAATCAAAGCAACAATTAATACAGGTACATGGAACGTCCAGACAGTTTGAAAGACCGGGAGAACCAGTGAAATGGCAACGGAAATGAGGAGATACAAATTAGCAGTACTGGGAATTAGTGAAACCCATTGAACTCAAGCTGGATAGAAAAGATTATATTCAGGTGAGATGCTGATGTACTCCGGTCACGAAGAGGAAAATGCTCCATACACTCAGAGAGTCGCTCTGATGCCGTTCAAATAAGCACGAGATGCACTTATTGGGTGGGAATCTCATGGATCCAGGATCATCAAATCATCCTTCAAAACAAAGGAGGGAATTAAAATGAATGTTATCCAATGTTATGAACCCACCAATGATAGCAACGACGATAATAAGGATCAGTTCTATGAGAGGCTGCAGTCGATTATAGCAAAGTGCCCGAGAAAGGATCTCAACATCCTGATGCGAGATCTGAACGCCAAAGTCGGAATGGGCAACACCAAGTATGAAGATATAATGGGATGACATGAACTGACTGGGAGAAAGGGACGAGAATGATGATGTATATTCAACAAAATGGTTATAAACGGCATAATATTTCCACACAAAAGTATCCGGATCTTACCGGATCACACCACGGAGAACCAGATAGATCATATTCGCATCGGTAAGAAATTCACAAGGACATTGGAAGACGTGAGGGCCAGGAGAGGAGCTGATATAGCTTCAGTTCATCACTATCTGGTCTTTTTCAAGATGCCAAGATACTGACAAACGCAACCGATTCAAGATAAACTCAGTTGGTATTGTTCATATGAACCTTCCCATTGATGTTCAGGACTGCAATTGATCAGTCTCTCGAACTGAAACTTCACCCGATCGCGCAAACAAGTGAGTATCAGGACTCAATAGCTAAGTGGACAACGCGATGGCGTCTGAAGCGACCGGTACTAGGTTCTAATTTCGGAGTAAAAATCAACTCTGGGATGCAGACACATCCAAATGACGAGTCCCAAACAGGGCGGAATGCGCGTCTTGAATTTCGCTGCTAACTACTATCCATCTTTGTTTACAATTCAAATTAGCTTTCAACAACGGGTTTCAAGTCTTAGAGGATATACTCTAAGAAGAAACTAAGGTGGAGGATAACTGGAAAGAGATCAATGAAGCATTAACTTCAACGTGACACGAGGTGCCGGGTCACAACAAGCATCATCATAAGAAATGGATCTCTATGGAAACCTTGAACAGTATCCTAGAAGCAAAGAATAAGAAAACAGAAATTAACAACAGTTGAACAAGAGAAAAGAAAGTCAAGGCACAAGCAGAATACAGAGGGGCATTAGGACCGACAATGAGCAATACGCGAAAGAGTGAGAAAGCTTCTAATTGGATGCTAGATTCAGTTTCCCAAGCTCTTCAAGTAGCCACCCGGCTAAATCTAAACACCACCCTGAACACGAGAGTTAAGGAGTGAAATATGGAAGAAACGTTTTATTCCAGAATTCGTTTATGTACAGAAAATCTGGAGTACTTATAATAAGTTAGATGGCCTTGGGTTTCCGGAAAATTCTGGATCGCTGGTAAACATAGTAGTAGTAGTAGTAGTAGTAGTAGTAGTAGTAGTAGTAGTAGTAGTAGTAGTAGTAGTAGTAGTAGTAGTAGTAGTAGTAGTAGTAGTAGTAGTAGTAGTAGTAGTAGTAGTAGTAGTAGTAGTAGTAGTAGTAGTAGTAGTAGTAGTAGTAGTAGTAGTAGTAGTAGTAGTAGTAGTAGTAGTAGTAGTAGTAGTAGTAGTAGTAGTAGTAGTAGTAGTAGTAGTAGTAGTAGTAGTAGTAGTAGTAGTAGTAGTAGTAGTAGTAGTAGTAGTAGTAGTAGTAGTAGTAGTAGTAGTAGTAGTAGTAGTAGTAGTAGTAGTAGTAGTAGTAGTAGTAGTAGTAGTAGTAGTAGTAGTAGTAGTAGTAGTAGTAGTAGTAGTAGTAGTAGTAGTAGTAGTAGTAGTAGTAGTAGTAGTAGTAGTAGTAGTAGTAGTAGTAGTAGTAGTAGTAGTAGTAGTAGTAGTAGTAGTAGTAGTAGTAGTAGTAGTAGTAGTAGTAGTAGTAGTAGTAGTAGTAGTAGTAGTAGTAGTAGTAGTAGTAGTAGTAGTAGTAGTAGTAGTAGTAGTAGTAGTAGTAGTAGTAGTAGTAGTAGTAGTAGTAGTAGTAGTAGTAGTAGTAGTAGTAGTAGTAGTAGTAGTAGTAGTAGTAGTAGTAGTAGTAGTAGTAGTAGTAGTAGTAGTAGTAGTAGTAGTAGTAGTAGTAGTAGTAGTAGTAGTAGTAGTAGTAGTAGTAGTAGTAGTAGTAGTAGTAGTAGTAGTAGTAGTAGTAGTAGTAGTAGTAGTAGTAGTAGTAGTAGTAGTAGTAGTAGTAGTAGTAGTAGTAGTAGTAGTAGTAGTAGTAGTAGTAGTAGTAGTAGTAGTAGTAGTAGTAGTAGTAGTAGTAGTAGTAGTAGTAGTAGTAGTAGTAGTAGTAGTAGTAGTAGTAGTAGTAGTAGTAGTAGTAGTAGTAGTAGTAGTAGTAGTAGTAGTAGTAGTAGTAGTAGTAGTAGTAGTAGTAGTAGTAGTAGTAGTAGTAGTAGTAGTAGTAGTAGTAGTAGTAGTAGTAGTAGTAGTAGTAGTAGTAGTAGTAGTAGTAGTAGTAGTAGTAGTAGTAGTAGTAGTAGTAGTAGTAGTAGTAGTAGTAGTAGTAGTAGTAGTAGTAGTAGTAGTAGTAGTAGTAGTAGTAGTAGTAGTAGTAGTAGTAGTAGTAGTAGTAGTAGTAGTAGTAGTAGTAGTAGTAGTAGTAGTAGTAGTAGTAGTAGTAGTAGTAGTAGTAGTAGTAGTAGTAGTAGTAGTAGTAGTAGTAGTAGTAGTAGTAGTAGTAGTAGTAGTAGTAGTAGTAGTAGTAGTAGTAGTAGTAGTAGTAGTAGTAGTAGTAGTAGTAGTAGTAGTAGTAGTAGTAGTAGTAGTAGTAGTAGTAGTAGTAGTAGTAGTAGTAGTAGTAGTAGTAGTAGTAGTAGTAGTAGTAGTAGTAGTAGTAGTAGTAGTAGTAGTAGTAGTAGTAGTAGTAGTAGTAGTAGTAGTAGTAGTAGTAGTAGTAGTAGTAGTAGTAGTAGTAGTAGTAGTAGTAGTAGTAGTAGTAGTAGTAGTAGTAGTAGTAGTAGTAGTAGTAGTAGTAGTAGTAGTAGTAGTAGTAGTAGTAGTAGTAGTAGTAGTAGTAGTAGTAGTAGTAGTAGTAGTATAGGTATTCATTCAATGAGTAACGCAACATGTGACTTTCCACTTTCTAGGTGTTTCTGGTATAAGTTCTAATGAATGCTGGTTGGATAAGACGTTTCTCAGCATTATAAGAGCTTTTTAGCATTTTGGGGAAATTTTCTGGATTTCCTGAACAATGAGCTAGCAAAGACAGCAGGAAAGCTGCAAAAGAAGGAAATATCAGACGACTATATGACATGACGAAGAAAACGGTAGGGAAATACGATAAACCAGAGAGACTGGTCAAGAAAAAAGAAGGCAAAACAATCACCGAGATTCAAGAAAAGAGGAGCAGGTGGGTAGATTTACTCAAGAAACTCTTGAATAGAACAGCTCCGTTAAATCCACTGGACGTCGAAGCAGCACACACAGACCATCCTATAGATGTCATTCCACTAACGGTCGAAGAAATCAGAATAGCCATCAGACAAATCAACAGTGTAAAGTAGCAGGGCTTGACAATATACCAGCTGAGGCCCTGAAGTCAGACACAGAAGTAACTGAGAAGTTGCTTCACGTTCTATTCAAAAAGATCTTGGAAGAAGAGCAAATGCCGACGAACTAGAAATAAGCACACCTCATCAAGATACCAAAGATAGGAGATCTGAACAAATGTGAGAACCACAGAGGCATTACACTAATATCGGCACCAGGAAACGCTTTTAATAGGCTGTTTTTGAAACGGATGAAAGACTCAGTAGATGACCAACCTCAAGATCAGTAGGTTCAATTCCGTAAGGATTGGTCGTGTGCAGACCAAATCGCCACAGTACGTACCATCGTTGAACAATCAATCGACGTCCTTGAATATGAGAAGGCGTTTGACAGTGTGGGTAGAACATTATAGAAACTTCTTTGACACTATAAAGCTCCTGAGAAGATCGTCAACATCACACGGAATTCATACGATGGGCTACCCTGCAAAGTGGTTCATGGAGGACAGACGCATTGCAAGTGGAGACCGGAGTCAGATAAGGCTGCCTACTCACCCCCTTTTCCTTCTTCTAGTCGTTGATTGGATTATGAATATTTCGAAATCTGAGAGGGAGCACGGAATATAATGAACGTGTTGGATGCAACTAAACGATTCGGACGTTCCAGATGAAATAGCTCTTCTATCCCATACACATCAGCGAATCCGGGTCAAAACAAATAGTGTAGCAGCAGCCTCTGCGTCAGTAGACCCTAACATACGCGAACGAAAAGGTAACATCCTCAAAAACAACACGGGGAACACCAACACATTCACACTTGATGGAGAACCTCTTCAAGAGGTGGTAACTTTCACGTACCTCGACAGCATTATCGATGAACAAGGAAGATCCGATGCAAACGTAAAGGCTAGAATTGGCAAAACAAGTCCCACATTCCTACATTTGAAGAACATATGGAACTCAAAACAACTGTCAGTCAACATCTAAGTTAGAATTTTCAATACTAACGTCAAGTTACTTCTATTGAACGGAGCTGAAACTTGGAAAACTATCACAACTATCATCAAAACAGCAAAAGTATTTATAAACATTTGTCTACACAAGATATTCAATGTCCGTTGACCATAAACCATCAGCAACAGCTTACTGTTGGAGAAAACAAACCAAGTTGTAGTTGAGGAAGAAATTAGAAAAAGACATTGGAAGTGGATAGGACAAACATTGAGGAAATCATCAAACTGCACCATCAGGTAAGCGCTAACTTGGAACCTTGAAAGGAAACAGAAAAGTAGAAGGCCAAAGAACACACTGAGCCGGGAATCGGAAGTAGACATGGAAAGGATGAATAGCAACTGGAAAGGACTAGAAAGGATTGCATCAGACATGGTTGGATGGATTATGCTGTTGGGCGGCCTATGCTCATCCATGAGGAGCAACGGGTGTAAATATGTAAGTATGTAAGTAATGTCTTACTGGCCATATGGGAATACTTGGTCCATAATGATAGTCGCGAATGGACAATATAGTACGTGATATCGATCAGCGAACCCAAGACACAACTATCCTAGTAACTACGACTATGCCTTCACCCATCTGACCAAAAAAACCTCATTTTAAATAGTAGCATAAATGATCGAAAACACCGGCCGGAAATACCAATTCTTATGGGCTTATAGTGTCGTTTACTATATTAAGCTCATATAACTTATTCTAGCTTCCGGACATGCCAATTTATCCATTCTTCTCAAGCTACATTTTGACCTTGTTCATTATTCGCTTATCAATCTTGACTATTTTTATACGACCGTATGTGTGTGTTCATCTTATCCTACTCATAACATATCTGTAACTTATTTTTGTGTGACTATAAATATTGATTAACGCTTGATTAAAATCGAGTTAGCTCATACGGCATATCCACTGTACGCCATTTCTCTTCGCTCCATTCCTCTGATTGCCTATTCAAACCAATGAGTACATTTGGCTTATTTAGTTCCGTTATTCACTGACATGAATTAAGTCGATATTTATATACGGGAATTAATGGCATGTATACCTCGCTAACAAGTAGATATGATCCATCTGGAGTCAGATATAAGGCCACTAAAGGTTAAACGCACCTTCTATCCCCAACAACCTATCAGAAGACGAAGACGGCAAGCCGTCATACTTACTTTTACGATGTTGTCAACCTTAATGAAAACATTACAGGATTATATCACATGAACACAACGTACTGTAAATAAGAATTGACATTGTATACATAACTAAATCACGTGCTAAAAAACTGAGTAACAGATCCATAATTAATTAATAAGTTAGGAATGATAAAAACATAATAACAATTAATGAATGAAACCAATGAAAGAAACCAAAGAGTAACATAAAAACAACAAAAACGAAGTTTTAAATGACAAGTGAACATTATTGGTCAAGAAATTGTTTCATTTTCAAATGTGCTTATGCATGTGAATCGTTGTAGACTAATAAACTTCCTTCTTTACTCTTAGTCTTCGGTTGAAAGTTTAACTGCAGGAAGTTTTGTATTTCAGTATCAGTATCGGATATCTCGCGTGGTAACAACATTTAAAATCATTTACAAATTTTCACTTGGTTTACAGAGTTCAATCAACATCAAATAGCTAAACAATACAAAATTGATTAAAACACAGTGATTAACGAATGTAAATGTTTCAACTAAATAATAAGTCAATCATGATGAAAATGGTCCAGTTGTAACATCATTTTTAATGTTCGATAAAACAAACAGAAATCAAAAACAAGTTGTTAGTTCTCTTACGATTATAGACATATCTCGTTGATGAATGTTAACCAACATGAATTTCAGATTCAGAACATTCTACTTATTATCCTCAGTCATTTATATCAAAGTTTCAACCCTGATGTAAAGAAATCAACTTAACATTTTGGCGAGACTATAATTTATGAACGAACCAATCAGATTAAGGATAACAGGTCTTAGATTTTGCCGCGAAATTCGCTCATCCATTCGCTAAAAATAGTATCTTGGCCTTTTAGCTGATGTCAATTCGTGATGAAAACCATAAATTTAAATTGACTGTAGATTATCCAACATTGCAGTATCTGCGGTCCTATTGTTTATACTTGGAAATAGGAACCACTATATATTCCACAATGAGAAGTGAGAACTGACTTTCCAAAACACAACGACGTTAAATTAAAATAAACTCATAGATCGATTTTAGTTATGAAGCATCGTATAATTGAAAAGATACATAGGAATTTTACACAGAATGATACAAAGCATATAATTGTCCCATTGAACGAAATTCCACATTTAATCAATACAAACATATTAACCTGAAATAATGTTATACTAAAAGATAAGAACCCAATATATTGAGTGTAAAATCAATGTCAAATCTCATCTTAGGAATAAAACTCATATTATTAAATGTTTGTATCAAGTTAGACAAAAAAAGCATGAATTTGCTTTATTATCTTGACTTATCTAAAGTAAAACATGCCATAGCAAATACATGAGAGAAGAGTACATGTTCGCATTTCTGAGCATGTTCCAAAAAACTTGAGGCTGCGAGGAACTAGGGCTCTCAACAGTGCAATAGCTCGGCATTTACTTGACACCGGGCATACCATCGACATTCCCCACGCTTTTAAAATTATCAGCAGATGAAGGAATATGACTGCTCTTCGTTTTGCTGAAGCGATAGCGATAAAAAAACTTAAACCGGATTTATGTATTCAGAAAAGAGACAGTAGTAAACTTATTGTTACCCTGGTAGTCCATGTTTATTTATTTTTTTGGTTATTGTTATTTTATTTATTTATTTTTAAAATATTTATTTTGTGTTATATCCCTCCCCCATTACCGAATTCTTAAACCAACTTTTCATTCACACATTTCCACCCATTTACCCTCTTAAATCATGTTAACTTTTCAAACTCTATTCAATTATTACGTTACCTATCTTATCACTATTGATTGATCACTGAGTGGTGATCAATGTCATGCTTGTCTAGTCCTTATTAGTACAAATCGAATGCTATCGACACTGCGGGCATTATGTATTGAGATTTAGATGGTGGTTGGAGGTAGTCAACTGCTAGGATAGCTCAGTGGTAACGTCTCTGACTATGAAGCTGGGTGATACGAGATCGAATTCGCCAGGGAGCACCAGTTCCCTCAAGATTACAGGTACACCTTGCTGACGAGTGCCAAGTAGCACGAAACCCGGAAGCAGGGTTTCCTGTTGACTACCTCCAACCACCATCTAAATCTCTATCTTATCATTGTTTAAGTTCATGAATCCTTCATTATCTCTAAAATTATCACACAATTTATGAACTCCACTCAACTACTAAACCAACCATCCTGAATTGTTTCCTTAATTCTAACACCAAATTATATATACATATATATATACATATATAGTTATTATTATAAACCTTTGTCATTCCAATCATTTACATTCATTTATGTCCATTGTTTTACACCATTTATTATCTCAATGTAAAAATTCTATTACATATTTGATTGTAAGCAACTGACGAGAAACC